ATTTGTTGATCAATGTAATCATCATAAATATCGAAGACAACTTTCAATTTTAACTAGGGAGAAGGAGTTCAGACTTGATCTTAGAGTTGTATATTGGTACACTTTATAAGTCTGGCAGACAATTATGAATTTAGACAGAGGGACATAAGTTCAGATTTCTAACTCTGGTAAAGAAGTCTTCAGATTTAGTGACTACCGAGAACATTTCAAAGATTCCTACTTAGTCTGGAACATCAGTTAAACCACAAAAATAGGAAAATAAACGTGTAGAGGGACACATGTCAGTTAAATAGACATATTGGTACCGTAAGTGAAAATTGTGTACACATACATCTAAGACTCTGTGTGTAGGGTGACGCCCTGCATGAAACACTTAAATTTGTTTATCCCTTCTCAATTACTCTGACACGGAAATCTGGAACATAACTCTGAAAGACTAACCTGGGAAAAAAAACTGACAAGCAGTTTCTTAACTTATGATGCATTTACACCTGTAATTTACGGTTTCCATAACCGCCTCATCTTCGTTAGCATTTGCTTCTTATAAAACTATTGTCATCATAGACAACTTTTGTTTCCTACTACAATAAAAATTGAATGCTTAAAACAACTGGCTAAGTGAATCCATTTTCTGATGATTGTTCATTCAAATGTTTTATTACGTAATGACTTCATGCACTGGTTTCTTATTGAAGGATTAATTTTTTTTGCAGATCTTTCAAAAAATAAATTTCATGGATGCTAGAGAAAAGAGAAAATTTAGAAAGATGGTATGAATAGTAGTATACAATCATTGAAGTCTACATCGTCAAATGTTGAAGGTATCTGATTCAACAACATTTTGAATTCGATTTTGAATGAGACAAATATTATCTGTTCAGAAATTCTGTTGAAGGCACTTTTTTTCATTATACTTTCCTCTTTCTTTTCACAGATTATATCACATATTCTTATAAGCGATTAAGATCTTCATCTCAGAGGAATAATATTCCCTACCATAGTGAGAATATGGATCCAAACACATATTTGCAATATGAACATACAAGCATTGAACATTCTTCTTCAAATGTGACTATCACAAATCCGTTATCAGATACTTCTAACAGTGTGTATAATCTCTTATACATCTCATTTCTAAACTAATGATTCCAATACATTTTCTATTCTAACACATATTTTACATTACGTAAATTTGTATATTTCAAACAGCAAATCTTCATGTAAACAGACTCTATTGGTTACGTTCTAATGCCAATCCATCAATGGCTTCATCGACAATAGAGCAACCTTCTTCTATGGTTCGATTATCAACAGAGCATCATACATTACGAAGGAAGACTGTAAATGTATCTGATATACCAATAATTGACATTACATCAGATGAAGAATTGGACGATCCAATAACAGCTACAAACATAATTGCAGGAATATTTGAAGGTAACTATTGATTAATCAACTATTTAACACTTACAGGTAGTTATTGGTTTCGAATTTATTAAACAGAGTACTTGGATCACGGTGAGGAAAGTGTTATTTGTGAATGCTGTGAGGCAAAACTATGGAGAGATGAAGCTCTTAGAGGGAAAAAATGCGGGATGAAACCAATTACTCCCTTTGTTGTCTTTTCGGCAAAGTTCAGCTTCCAAAAGAGAAAGAGATGGGTACTGCTTACGTAAATCTTTTTCGTTGTGAGGGCTCGAAAAGCAAATACTTCATGAAGAACATTCGTCGTTATAATTCAATGTTCTCATTTACGTCAATGGGTGGGATAATTGATTCTTCCATTAATAGTGGAAATGCACCAAACATATACAGGCTTAATGGTCAAAACTACCATAGGATGGGTAGTCTTCTTCCACCAGATGGATCGAAACCAAAATTCTCTCAACTGTACATATATGATACGGAGAATGAAGTTTCAAATAGACACAGTTCATTTAGGTATACATTCATCCTTATTGTTATATTTCTTAATAAATTTATTTGAATTCCATAGTATGGTTATATTAATGGTCACTCTGATTTTATATTTGTTATGATTTAATTAGTGAACAAAAAGAAGCATTTGCATCAAATTCTGATTCCCTTTATATTGAGATTATTCAATATTTAAAGAACATACTAGATGCAAAAATGTTTTGGTAAAGTCTTACAGAATTGCAAGAGATTGTTTTGAATGCTACCCAGATGTCAAGCTAAAGTTACGGCTTATTGGAAGAAAAGAAAAGGATGGAAGAACATATAACCTTCCAACTGCTTCAGAGGTTGCAGCTTTAATTGTTGGAGATGATGGTGGTACAATTGAGAAAAGAGATATCATTGTACAACATCAAACAAGTTATTTACAACAAATAAGTGAATTACATCCTTCTTACCTTCCTCTTCACTATCCGTTATTATTTCCATACGGAGAAGATGGTTACAGAGTTGACATTCCCCATAGAGAGGTACCATCTTTAAGCAAAAGTAAGAGAGCAACTGTAACAATGAGGGAGTTCTTCGCCTTCAAACTTCAAGATAGGAGAAATATGTTTTCATTACTTCTCAATGCAAGGAGGCTTCTACAACAATTTATTGTTGATTGTTACACAATGATTGAAAGTGAGATATTGCATTACATACGTAAGCAGCACAAAGTCCTAAGGTGCGAGACATATGATAATTTATGCAATGTATAAGAACAAGGACATTCGGATGCTTCAAACATTGGACAACATGTTATACTTCCTTCTTCTTTCACCGGCGGTGCTCGGTACATGATGCAAAATTATTTGGATGCAATGTCCCTTGGTAAATGGTATGGATACCCTGACTTATTCCTAACCATGACTTGCAATCCTAAATGGCCAAAAATTAGAAGATTTGTTAAGGACACCGACCTAAATCCAGAAGACAGACCTGGCATTCTTTGTCGTTTACTTAAGATCAAGCTTGATGCTCTTATTAAAGAATTGAAAGACAATGAGTTATTTGGCAAAGTTCAAGCAGGTATGTTCAATCTTTGATAACAGTATCAACATATTTCTTCATACTTTAGTCTTATATTTATTAATTTAAATTGTAACTTTTTTGTAGTTGTTTATACAATTGAATTTCAAAAGCGTGGATTGCCTCACAGTCATATATGTCGGTTTATGCACCGTGATTTCAAACTACCTACTGTTGCACAAATTTATCCTATCATCTCAGCTGAGATCCTAGACAAAAATAGCGATCCAGATTTGTACTCACTTGTAAAAGAGTTTGTGATCCATAGATCGTGTGGTGAAGAAAACATTAATTGTCCATGCATGATTGATAGAAAGTGTTCAAAAAAGTACCCGAAGAAATTTTATGAACACACTTCTATTGATGTTAATGGTTATCATGTATACCGCAGACGAGATGATGGACATTTTATTGAGAAATCAGGTGTTAAACTAGACAACAGAAATGTCGTTCCAATATAAAAAACATCTGTTGAGAAGATATAAAGCACACATTAATGTTGAGTGGTGCAACTAGGCTTCTTCAATCAAATATATGTTCAAATATATCAACAAGGGTCTAGATAGAGCTACTGTGGCTATTGTAGAAAATAGTAATGATGAGGTCACTGTTAATGTTGTTGATGAGATAAACCAATATTATGATTGTAGATACCTTTCTGCATGTGAAGCTTCATGGCGTATTTTTGGTTACGATGTTCATTACAGGACTCCTTCTGTTTTAAGACTTCATTTCCATCTTCCGAGACAACAACAAGTGGTGTTTGGTGCTGAAGATGATATTGAACAATATCCTAAACAAACCATCTGTGGCGTCCTCAATGTTCTTAGCTTGGATGCATAGTAATCAAATTTATCAAGAAGCACGAGAACTCACTTATGTTGAATTCCCTACAAAGTTTGTATGGAAATTGGAGGAACGATTTTGGGATCGAAGGAAAAAAGGGTTATCAATTGGACGGATTCATTCAGTTTCTCCTACTGTTGGAGAAGGATATTATTTCAGAATTCTTCTAAATAAAGTGAAAGGTCCTAAATCATTCGAAGATATTCGTACAGTAAATGGAAAAACATTTCTTACTTTTAGAGATGCATGTTATGCTCTTGGGCTTTTAGAAGATGATAAGGAATATATTGATGCCATTGAAGAGGCAAATTTAACTGCATCTAGTTTTTATCTACGCTTCTTATTTACAACCATGCTGATTTCAAACAGTCTATCTAGACCTGAATTTGTTTGGGAAAAAACATGGCAATACCTAGCAGATGGCATTCTGTACAATCAACGAATTGCTTTACAATCTCCAGGTATGTTAATTCTATATCTTAAGCATAGATATATACAATTATTATCTAAATAGGAAAGAATTTATTGTTTTTGTCTTCATCAACCACTATGGTCGTCCTTAAATTGTATTTAACTTTAATTTCATGTATTAATTGTTGACATTTATATTATCTTCTTACAGATTTATCTCTCAATGAAGAACAAGTGAAGAATCTAACTTTGTTCGAATTTGAAAAGAATTTGCTCCGTAACAATTCCACATTGAGAAACTTCACTACTCTGCCATATCTTGGTAATGATTGTCTTGAATCTTCAAACAACCGTTTGATGGCAGAAGAGCTGGATTACAACCATCATAATTTACATGATGAGTTTCAGACACTTGTAACTACTCTAACAAATGAGCAAAAAGGTGTGTATAACGAAATCATGGTTGCTGTTGAAAAGAACAAAGGTGGTGTGTTCTTTGTTTATGGGCATGGCGGAACAGGTAAAACATTCCTATGGAAGACATTGGCTGCATCAATAAGATCTAAAGGAGAAATTGTTTTAAACGTCGCTTCCAGTGGTATTGCATCTTTACTTCTTACCGGTGGCAGAACAGCACATTCTCGCTTTCAAATCCCTCTCGTTATCAATGAAGATTCTTTTTGCCACATAAAGCCAGACAGTGATGTTGCGAGCTTAATAAAAAAACTACTTTAATAATATGGGACGAGGCACCAATGGTTCATAAGCATGCATTTAAAGCACTAGATAGAAGTATGAACGATATTTTCAATACTCGACGCAGTGGTGACTCGCAAATGCTTTTTGGGGGCAAGGTAATTGTTTTTGGAGGAGATTTCAGACAAATTCTGCCGGTTATTCCCAACGCAGGTAGACAAGACATTGTAAATGCATCATTAAGCTCATCTACATTTGGGAAATATGCAAAGTCCTAAGATTAACTAAGAACATGAGGCTAACTGCAAATAGTGAGAGTTCAGAAATTGAACAAACAAGGGATTTTGCAAAATGAATTTTGGACTTAGGAGAAGGAAAAGTTGGAGGTGATAATAATGGAGATGCAGTTATTGAGATACCTCATGATCTTCTCATTACCGATTTCGTCGATCCTATATCTGCATTAATTGAATTTGTCTATCCCTCAATTCTTGAAAACATTAACAACTCAGCTTATTTTCAAGAACGAGCAATACTTGCACCAAAAAATGAAGTCGTTCAAGAAATAAATGATTGTTTGATGTCATTGTTCCCAGGAGAAGAAAAGGAAAACTTAAGTTCAGATATGCTATGTGAATTAGAGCACCTTCATGATGAGTTTGATAAAACTTTGTACTCTCCTGATGTTTTAAATTGTCTTAAATTATCAGGGATACCAAACCATAAGATTTTACTAAAAGTTGGTGTTCCTATCATATTACTCAGGAATATTGATCAGAAATCTGGATTATGTAATGGAAACTAGACTGCGGGTGTTAACATTGGGAAATCAAGTGATAGAAGCACAGGTTATATCTGGAAGCAATATTGGAAGTCGTACATTCATTCCAAGAATGTCTCTGACACCTACAGACAAAATGATACCATTCAAATTTCAAAGGAGACAGTTTCCAATTGTTGTATGTTTTATCATGACCATAAATAAGAGCCAAGGACAATCATTATCAATATTTGGTTTATTTCTAAGACAATCGATCTTCACCCATTGTCAGTTATATGTTGCTTTATCCAGACTTAAAAGCAAGCAAGGTTTGAAAGTACTAATTATGGATGATGATGGTGTTATTGACAGTAGAACAACGAATGGTGTATTTAAAGAAGTGTTTAGTAATATATGATACATGGTTCTTATTTTGTTAATATTTTACTTATTTACCTTTCATTAGTTTCATTTATGTTCTATTATAAACTTTGTTTTAGAAGTTCCTCATATTGACTTATATTGTTATTAATTCTTTAGAGAGTCATTTTTCATTTATATTATGTATTATAATTATCTGGCCATAGAGCCTCTGCGTGTACTACGCAGCTCCTCTAAGCCTCACTTCGTACTTCATAAAGAGCTTTAGAAAGGCTCTGTATGTACTACACAGAACTTCTGACCCTCACTCCATGTTTCATACAGAGCTTTACACAGGCACTGCAGGTACTACGCAACGCCTCTATGACTGATTTCGTGCTTCATGCAGACTACACAGCGGCTCTACGTCTACAACGCAGGGCCTCTGTCTACGGAAGATTTATTCAGACTTGTACCTTTGACTAACCTTAAAATTAACTCTGGAAAAGGACTTCAGACTTGTGTCCAGATTGTTCATCTTCATTCAGAAGCCTTTATGATAATCGAAATACAGGACGTCCTTTGTATATGCCAACCTTAACTCATCAGTAAGAGCTCTGTCTCTGCATGTACTAGGTAGAGCCTCTGAGCATAAGTCTGTGCTTCGTACAGAGCTTCACGGACGCTCTGCATAGCTTCTGACCCTGATTTTGTGCTTCATACAGACCAACAAAGAGGTTCTGCATCTACAACGCAGAACCTATGTCTACGGAAGGATCCTTCAGACTTGTGACTCTGAATAACCTTAACTTCAACTTTGGAGAAGGACTTCAGACTTGGCTTTTTCAAATAAATATTTATTTAGAACGCGGGATGCAAAGCATGTCAAACCACGTGTCTTCCCCCCACAAGCTTATGAATAACCGTTTTAGTTGTCGACCCTTCGGGCCAATTTCCACTTGAGTTCCTATTAGGAAATCTCTTATTAAATTACCCTTTATCCCCAAAATTAAATTTATTTTATAAATATTTTACTTATTTACCTTTCATTACTTTCATTTATGTTATGTTATAAACATTGTTTTAGAAGTTCCTCATATTTACTCATATTATTATTAATTTTTTAGAGGGTCATTTTTCATTTATGTTCTGCATTATAATTATCCGGCCATAAAGGTTCTGCATGTACTATGCAGCTCCTCTGAGCCTCACTTTGTGCTTCATACAAAGCTTCAGAGAGGCTCTGTATGTACTACGAAGAGCCTCTGAGACTCACTTCGTGGTTCATACAGAGCTTTACAGAGGCACTGCAGGTACTATGCAGCGCCTTTATGCCCGATTTCGTGCTTCATGCAGAGCTAAACAGCAGCTCTACGTCTACAATGCAAGCCTCTGTCTACGAAAGATTTATCCAGACTTGTACCTTTAACTAACCTTAGAAATTAACTCTGGAAAAGGACTTCAGACTTGTGTCCACGTTGTTCGTCTTCATTTAGAAGTCTTTATGATAATCGAAATACAGGACGTTCTTTGTATATGCTACACTTAACTCACCAGTAACAGCTCTGTCTCTGCATGTACTAGGCAGAGCCTCTGAGAATGACTATGTGCTTCATACAGGCTCTGCATAGCCTCTGACCCCGATTCCGTGTTTCATGCAGACCTACATAGAGGCTCAGCATCTACAATCCAGAACCTATGTCTACGTAAGGATCCTTCAGACTTGTGACTCTGAATAACCTTAACTTCAACTCTGAGAATGACTTCAGACTTTCCTTTTTCAAATAAATATTTATTTACGACGCGGGCTGCAAAGCATGTCAAACCACGTGTCTTCCAACCACAGGCTTATGAATAACCGTTTTAGTTTTCGATCCTTCAGGCCAATTTCCACTCGAGTGCCTATTAGGAAATCTCTTCTTAAATTACCCTTTATCCCCAAAATTAAATTTATTAAATTTATTAAATTAATATGCTACCTATTTACCTTTCATTAGTTTTATTTATGTTCTGTTATAAATTTTGTTTTACAAGTTTCTCATATTTACTCATATTATTAATTCTTTAAAAAATGCATATCATTTTCATTTAATTCTTGTAAAATAACCCGTGTAATATACGGGTTCGAACCTAATATATATATAGGGTCAGGTTCAAATGTTAACCAAAGTTTTTGTGTTAACTTTGTTAACCGATCTTGGCCATTCAATCTTTCAATAAACGGTTGTGATTAATCATAATAAAAACTTATTTTTTTTAAATTTAAAATTTCATAAAGATAAATGAACAAAGTTGAAAASGGTATTTAGGTAAAAAAAATTATGTAACTCCCATGTCATTAATTGGGAGTTACAAAATCAAAAAATTCTATGATTTTTATTAATTTATTTTTATTAATATAAGAATCATATGAACACAACTATATATATATAAACCATTGTGTCAAATACGAACAAAAAATTGACATATATATGAACTTGGAGTGAATAGCATTTATGAACACAATTATGAACGTAATAAGAATAACTACTATACGATAGGAAATAAATAAAAAAACAGGTATGAACACAATATGAACAGCTTGTGAACAATAGTTCCTTCATTATAAACACATTCAGGAGCGATCCTTTGTCAATTGGAGTTTTATACATGCATTGCATCCACACCGTTTAAGGTTCACCCCTTGTTCATATATGTTTCTGGTCTTATGTGGTTGTTCACCCCTTGTTCATATCATATAAAAAATATGAACACATAACTCCGACGCTATGAACACCGGATGCAAACACTTACACAAATATAAAAATATGGTATCCAGCTTAAAAAAAACACTTGTGTTCATATGATAGAAGTAACATGAACACAATGGTTCATGATTCATAAAAGTCGGTAATATGACAATATGAAAATGGGTCGTGCATGTACTTCCATTTGAACATGTGAATTAAGTACGTATTAATAATTAAAGAAAAAGTTATCAACGCAATATGAAAATGGGTCGTGCATGTACTTCCATTTGAACATGTGAATTAAGTACGTATTAATAATTAAAGAAAAAGTTATCAACGCAATATGAACTACAAAAAACACAACACATCATATGAACATAATTTTGATTAAAACGAGTCTAATAAAATATTAATCCATTAACATTCACTTTGGTTAATTTATTCACTTCCCGAACTTGAACTCCGATTGTCACCATAAACCATTTTAATCTTCTCAATGTTGTCGATTTTTTTTCCAATGCATTTATTCATAATAGCTTGAACGATACCAAAGATTTTACTATCGTATTTCCTCCATGAATCAAAAACTCATAAAAGAATAAAAACGAAAGATCAAGATTAAAAAATAATAAAATATCAATATTATAAATGTATATTTTTAGAGATTTTATGATTTTGTAACTCCCCTTTAATGGTATGGGAGTTACATATCAAATGAAATTACTCAATTACCCTTGACATTAAATTGTGAACATGATAGAAACCTAATAGAAGAATGGATTGTGATTGGTTGACATGATTTGCAAAGTTAACACAAAAAGTTTGGTTAACATTTGATCTTGTCCTTATATATATATACTTAAATTTCTTTTTTTTCCCCAAATATGCGCTTATGATTAAATTAAGAGTGTATTATTTTTTAAAAATAGTCCATTATTTTACAATTTTGTCATCATTAATCATAGCTCTCGATCAAATTAGATGGTTGGCTAAACACTTGTATTTTTACGACATTAATTATATCTTTACTAAAATCCTTGTTGATCGAAATAAATTTTTGCTCATGGTTTATAATATTTTTTATGAAACACAACGATATTATTAAATAAAAAGGTCAAGAAATTAAAACACTCATTGTTTATAATCTAATAAATAAAACCAAACTCAGATATAGAGAAAGTAGACGACCATCATATAAATGATGTTTCATTTTAACACAAGCTCATAAAAAATGTCGTTATTTACGTTTATGAAATTGTCAGAAGATACATACAACGAGCGATTGAAACTTTTAATCGAGCTCGACATATCTAACACTACAATAAGAAAAACAAACAATCAAAACTAAAACATTATTCATTGGAAAACACGGCACTAAATATACCAACGAAAACCCACATAAAACAAACCAAAAAAAGAAAAGTTGTTAATTTGGGTCATCATCGAAATCAAAGAAATGAGTGATCACAAGCTTCGTTTTTTGCTTATCGTTTCGTTTGTTTGTTGTTGGCCTTTTCATTACTCTTACTTCGTGATCTTCTTCGACTGCTTTGAACATGTAACGTCTCATTAATTATGGGCACTAAATACCATCCAAGAGAAGTGCATAATATCGCAAAAGATCGTCCAAGAAACATCAATAACACCAAGATTAAGATCACAAATAAAGCCAAATAACAAGAAGGTTTCCACCATTCTCTAACCTTTCTTCCCCATTCATCACACTTAATCTTCTTGATCATCTTAGACTTACCATCAACCAATGCTGGTTTCCCTCTTTTCCCTTCATCGATTCCATTCCCACCATATTTGTCTGGAGCAAAAGCGACATCCTTTTGATGTTGTTTCGGTTCTTGAGTCTGCGACAAACTTGTTTTATTGTGTTTTCTTTGATGTCTTAACTTAATAACAATCGGCGTGACTTCTTCATGGGGGCTTCTATAAACAAATTTAACC